TGACCTGAACCCCATAGAGAATCTATGGGGTATTGTCAAGAGGAAGATGAGAGACACCAGACCCAACAATGCAGATGAGCTGAAGGCCGCTATCAAAGCAACCTGGGCTTCCATTACACCTGAGCAGTGCCACAGGCTGATCACCTCCATCCCACGCTGCACTGATGCAGTAATTCATGTAAAAGGAGGCCCAGCCAAGTATTGAGTACATGTACAGTAAATGAACATACTTTCCAGAAGGCCAACAATTCACTAAAAATGTTTTTTTTATTGGTCTTATGAAGTATTCTAATTTGTTGAGATAGTGAATTGGTGGGTTTTTGTGAAATGTGAGCCAAAATCATCACGATGAAAAGAACCAAAGACTTAAACTACTTCAGTCTGTGTGCACTGAATTTATTTAATACACGAGTTTCACAATTTGAGGTGAATTACTGAAATAAATGAACTTTTCCACGACATTCTAATTTATTGAGATGCACCTGTAATTTGATCCTGCTGGATCCTGTTCCGGAAAATGTCAGATTTTGAATTTTTTGCGTTCCGGTAGGCCTATTTGTTTTTTAAAATCTTGGCATTTACAGTGCATTAGATCGTGACAGTGCGTGCATCCGAGACGGAGCGAGCGCGGGGTTGGCTAGATGTATTTGGAGGTTATTACTCACGTCTCATTCGGCACAAATCCAAATGTTTCCATATTCGCAATGTATTTGAATGTTAAACTATTATTTATAATGTAAACTAGGCTTGTACTTTACACGCATTCGCATATAGACGGAAAAGATCATCCTCTTCACATGAGCAAAAACGTCTTTAACTGCAGAGTGGACCGGTATACTACTGTCTATTTAAACTGACCAGTGTAACCTTTTATATGTTTGGTTGACCGTTATTTTGATAATGAACAGACTGCGATGTAAGTTTGAATTGCTAGAATATGTGGGTGTGTGCGCGCGAGGTGCCGGTGAGATGAACAGCTGAAACATAAAAAAACTTGTTTGTGGAGCGCTGTGCCACACTTCTGTTTTAAATCTGTTAGCTTAATTATTTAAGACAGATAGCGCCAAAAAACAGCATTTATTGTTTAAATACTGCAATACAATCCGTGTATCATTTGTTTTTTTAATTTAATATTGAAAGTAAAAAAAATAAGAAAACGGCTCCTTTTTCGTTTTTTTTCCAAAAAACTAAAAATGAGAATTCAGCTTAAATTTTCATTTTTCGTTCATGGGTGGAAAAATGAATAAACAGCTTGAATATTCGATTTCTACACGTGGGCGGGAAATAAACGACCCTTTCTGCTGATTGGTCAGTCGAAGATCAAACCGTGCCGCCTTCAGTTCTTCTGCAGTATCATGCAGCAGAATAATAGTCCTCCACTGCTGCAGTTGTACGGATTAATAACCCATTTTATCAAT